AGTTGCATCTGCCTGTCATGTCACGTTAGTGTTTGCTGTGAGCCATGCCATGACATCCCAAGCAGACTGGCGTACCATGGAAATAAAGTTGCTCTATGTGAAAATGGAAAAGTTGTCGCTTTCCAGAAAACAGGCTGGAGAACGTCAGCTGCAAATGGGAAGGAAGAAAAAAAGGCTTGTCTGAGTGGATGAAGGGATAGCTTTTAAAAGGCAAACCCAGCTTCCACCGATGTCAATGGAAAGCCTTACACAAACGTTAATGGCTATGGAGTCATGCCCTAAAGCATTATATTTTTTGGGATGATGTCAAGTCGTGGTATCTCAAACAAAGCTTTTGTGTTACTATAATAAGGTCTTTTTTGATTCAGCTACTTAGGTTAGCTCTTTAGTGAAGTCACTTCACCTCTCCCTGCCCCTGGAAAATAGCTCTCATAAAACCTGTGAAACTTTGTTGAGTGCTTTGAGATCTATAGGTGGAGTTAGACTATCGGGGATGTATTGTTATCACTCTCACTAGAGAATGATTTGAGGGAGGAAAAATGTTTGTGATTCTTTGGGCAGATCCGCAGAAGGTGGAAAAAAATGAGTAATTTGTCCCCTATTAAAACACTGTGAAATACTCTGACTCTGAAAGAATTTCCCTTGTGCTTTTAGAAACCCCCTGAGTTCAAAGCATCCACCCCCTGATGCTCCAGCCTAAGCTGTATCTTGTAATCTCTGCTGTACCCTTTGGGAAATTTCCCCATGGCTTTGTGTACACAAGAGAGACTCTTCTAAGGAAATTTTATTAAAAAAGCCATTTTTTTAAAGTGGGATTTAAATAGTAAGCTGCATTCTCTCTGTCAGCAGTTCTCTGCCTTCATGCATTGTGGATCCTGTTCTTGAATAGATATCTATCTCTTGTCTGCCATCGGTGATAATAAGGGCGAGTATCTGGCTGAAGCAGTTGAAGATAATAGTGGAGCTGCTGCTCCCCAGCTGGTTTGTGAATGTCTGAAGTCGTCATTCGGTGCAGTTCGCTCCATCTCCACGGGTCCGGGGTGCTGGAGAGGTGACTGTGCTGAAGCAGAAGAGGACCGACCGCTCACGGGATGGCTCCACCAGCTCTGCTGTGGGAGCTCACCTCCAGCCCACCACGGGGACAAGGCGCTGGCGGTGCTGGCTGTTTGCAAAGTGAGTGCGTGTCTGTAAGGTCTGTCTCCATTCAAGGACGCGTTTCGAAGCAGGCTGATAGTTATTTTTTATTGTCTGTGGTGGACATTGTGTGCGGTCCTTATGGGGAGGACACTGATACTCATTCAAGTGTTTCTCTGAACTGCCATCCTAATCTTATCATGGAGGTAGCAACAGCCATATGAATATTATGGATTTCTTTTGTGCTGCTCTGATAAATACAGTCTACAGGGTACGTTGCGACGAATGATACAAGTCCCAAATACAGCACTTTTAGAGGCAGTACACAACCTGATAATCTCATTATTTGCTACTCCTACACAGTATAAGAGCAACATCATATCAGCCTTAGGTGTTGCTGCAACAGAAATAATTAATAAAAATCCATCTGCCACCTATAATGTCTTTAAAAAGCAATAGAGAGCATGCACAAGCTGCTGGGAAACAGCTCTGCCTCCCAGGACTGGAGCTGGGGGTAACATCATCTGCAACTTCTCACCTGAAAAGGAAAGAATTGGTTTGCATTCAGGTTCACTTTGAATGTTGTGAATATTTTATAATAGCTTACTGGCAGAAAATGGTGACTTTTTAAGGGCTTATTTGTAAAACATGAATTTTGAGCTTTCAGAAAGAACTGTTTATACCAGGTGCTCATTCCAAGGCTTACGGGTAATTGAGCAAGGCACAGCACTCACTGCAGAGCCTCAGTCACAAGTGCCCACAGCCACCTTCCCACAGCAATCTGCAAACCACAGATTTTAACGTGGGTTAACGATGACATCACACTAACAATTCTAACTGACCACAGATCAGTTCTGAACTGCTCGCTTGGTTTTGCCAAGTGTGGAGGGATCCACTCAACAAAGCAGGCAGAGTAGATGAGGAAGGACTTTCAGAGAACGCTTTGGGGGAAGCATTTCTCAAGGTGCCCTCACACAGGCTACAACTCGACCAGGGAAGTGCAATCATGGGATAATATTGTGGGATGCAGAGCTGCATGGTGTTTGCCCCTGTAGCACAGACACCAGCTGTCCCTGGAGCACACCACCTGTATGTTTGGGCCATGGTTTCAGTTTGGGCTTGCCTAACTCAAGCAGGAGTGTTTCCATCACAGCTCTCGCCATATGATGGCTCTGGGATTATTCCCCACCCGGACCGAAGCGCGGGGGTGCTTTGACCTCCCTCCTGTTACCAGCCCTCCACGCTGGGGTTGGAAGTGCCCAAGCAGCGAGTGGGAAGCTCTGGCTGTGTCTGTGGCATACCCCGAGGGTTTAGCTTTACTAAGCACCATTTAAAAGCAGTAGCAGCAGCAGGAGCTCTGTATTCATAATGAAAAATTCTTCAGCAAGCAAAGCAGTATAAGGAGATAGAAAGGAGCCTGCCCAGTTGGGAGTCATTTGCAGATGGTTCTGGTTCATTTGTTGACTGCTTTTTCTCTGTCTTCATCAGCCACCACTTCCCTTGGCTTAGCAGCACACTCTGAGCACATTCTTTGCTTTAAGTACCTGAGAAGTCCCATTGACTTCAATGGGGCGACTAATGTGCTTGATTAAAGGTAAGTACCTGCTTCAGTGCTTTGCTAAATCTGAGGTCTGGGAATAGAAATAAATGGAAGGATCCTGCCTGCAGAGAGGGGACCTTCTGGGGAAATATTTACTCTGGAGGTAGAAGAAACTGGTCCTAGGGCAAATTTCCCATCTATATCCTGGTGTCTTCAGCGATCTTTCTTTGGGAAGTTATCCACACTGAGCATGTGGCTCCAAACAGAGTTTGGACCATTTACTCTCATGGTTGCAGGAGGAGAAAATTTATTTCACTGCCATGGCCTGATATGTAAGTGTAGGAAAACTATGAAAGTGAGTAACTCTCCTCTTGGGAGAGGTGAAGAAGGCACTAGTCAGCCTTTTAATCTTATATCAGGATTAATTTAAAGCTGGAAAACAAGAGTGCTGCAGAAAATCTGGGATACATTCCAGCTTGCTGCCTGACCTTGGTCAAGCCCTATTGTACGGCTCCCTGTGCGCCTCAGTTTCCCCATCTGCAAGGTGAGGATGATGAAAGAGGTCTCACTAGTGAAGTGCTTTATAACCTGTTGAGAGCAAATCCCTATTTATAGTGGTAAGAGTGGACAGGTGGAATGTTTTGCTGGTGCTAAGTTCCCCGGGCTGCAGTGCCCCGAGCTGCCTGGTCAGCAGGAGCCACGGCTGGAGACATCCCTCACTGCACCTGTGCTCATACACGCAACAGATGCTGAGCTTGATGGACTAACAGCCTGATGTGGTTTGGTAATCTTTTGTCTCTAATAGTTATGCCTGCTAATTATTAGTATTAATTATGTACAAAGTGGTGTTTTATAGGCAATCAGGAGACAGGTTTCCTGTCCCGTAGGATCCATAGCGTAAAGTCAACAATAAGAGAATCAGAGCAGACCCAAAACGTTTTGGAGGAGGAAGAGGAAGGTGAGGAAGCCCATCTCGCCTTTCATCGCACAAAGAACGTGGCAGGATGATCCCACTTGACACCAAACCGGGGTGGCAGAGCTAAAACCAGCATTCCCTGAGCACTTTGTTTGAGGCTGGCTTTGTAATGCCTCTGGCCCAGTCTCAGAAAGTGTGGGCTGATCCCCTGCCAGGGCTCCTGGTTGGGGGTGCCGGGTGGGAACAGTTCGGCTATAAATGCTCTGCCCAGCGGGGACAGCAAGTCTCTTTGAGATCCTTAAGTGCTGGTGAGGACCAGGACAGGACTAATGGGCTACTAGCCTCGGGGGACTAATGGGCTGGCTAATAAGGACATGGATTTTGACATCCCAGAGCAAATAAGAATTGGCAGGCATTAACCTCAGACATGTCTTCTGCCTAGAGAAACCCAAGCCCCTCTCTCACTCTTCGTTCTGTTTAGCATATTAATGTTTAATTCCATTAGCATCAGCAGCGGTGGCTGCTCTTCAGCCTGGGAGGTGCTTGGGCGAGCCTCAGGAGGTGCCACATTTGGAAGGGGGACCCCGCAGCTGGCCGGGAGCCAGGATCAGGCCCTGCCACAGTGGCTAACGCCGCTGCAGCTCCCAGCATCTGCCTCTTGTTTGTGCTCCTCTGCTAATTCAGCATCAACCGCTGCTGCCCACTCCACGGGCTGCCTCCTTTCTGACACGGGGCTTGTGCGTTTCATTTCTGTTCACCGGAGGGATTTCCCACCTTTCTCTGTCTCTCTCCTCCACTTTCACCCCTTTTTATTTCACATTTAGGGTGCAGTTCCTATGTGTCTTCCAGGAGGAGCAAGATTGCAGGGGCTGCCTCCAGGATGGAAATAGGACAGGGCAACAGCTCCTCACACAGAAATGAACCATGTTGATTCATCTTCTCCAACCTCCCTGCTATCCTCTCCTCTCCCTGCTAAGTGGCAGTGGCAGCAGCAGCATGGTGTTCAGCGGTGCATTTCCCTGTGTTCGACCCAGCAGCCCTGCACCTCTGGAGAGAGGATTGATCACAGGAGGACAGGAAAGAAGCAGAGCCACTGTCTGGTGTAATTCCTTACAGAGCTGAGAAACCTAATCAGCATGGTGGTGTTCTATTTTTCTCTCTGTCTTTCCCCTTAATGTTTCCCTTTAAACGAGATATTAAAAATAGGAATATTAATTTGGCAGATGGTGCAATTGGGCTTTTGGCAGGAGACTGCACACTGTGCTGCAGAGTCACAGACCTCCATCTCCGTGCTGGAGCACTGAGCGATGCTCTGGCTCTTCTCCAGGCACTGCCTTCCTCCAGCTCCTGCTCCCTCCTCCATCTCTCAGTGCTGGGAGAACCCTCTGGGGTGGAGGGAGCTCCTGTGGGTCCTTGCTCCAGTGGCAGCCAAGTAGCTTTGATTTCCCAGTTCTGAGCCATCATGGAAGGGTGGAGACCTCGTTTCTACTTTAATTGCATCCAGGTCTGATGGCGGTGGGGGGAGCAGTGTATGTGTAGTGCATTACTTCTATAGGGGGGTGGTTGAGCCTCAGTCTTGAGTTTCTGTGGGGTTGCTGGGTGCCTTGGGCTTTCTGCAATGTGGGGAGGCACCCCTGCTCGGGAGGGTCTGCGGGAGCTGGGTGTGATGGGGCTTGTTTCAGACACGGCAGGGAGGCAGGTAGAGTGTTTCCAAATGGAGTGATTTTAAAGGCTTCTTTGGGCACTGCATGCTTTTCTTCTTTTTCTTCTATTTGCTGGTGTTCTGGTTGGTCTCAGCTCCATCCAAGGGGAGGGTTCTGGTCTTTTATTGCTTTTTCATTGCCTGAATTTTCAGAAACACTACAGAGTCAAATTTCCCCTAAATTTTCTCTGCTGGAGCTTTGGCCCAATGCTGCAATTTCACCAAGGGCAAAATGAGCCCTAATTAATCCCTGCATCTCTGTTGTATCCCTTTTGCCCATCTGCAGCATCCTGATATTTAGCATGTCTCTCCCCATGCTGCGTCTGACACCAACCCCAGACCAGCCTCGGTTTCTTGGAGCTGTAACTCCTCCAGCCTCAGCAGGGTCCTGGCTGTGGGAGGGAACAAAAGCAGAGTCAGGTCTCACACTTGCAGTTCATTTTTCATGCTCATACAAATATCTCTGTTTTCCAAATTTTTTGGCATTTTTTGTTGTTCTTTGAACTCCTTCTGGCTTGTCTGTCTTTGTTACAACATGATGCCCAGATCTGGGCGTGCTGCTTCAAACAGCAGCCTGACAAGTGCTGGGAAGAGCAGAATAATTGCCTTGCTGGATTGCAGCAGCCTGATGTTATTGACTTCTGTTCAATCGATCATCCCCCCCAGACCACTCTCTGCTGTATAGCTGTTTGGCCAAATATCTCCATACAGCCTCTGTCCTTTTGTTTATTCCTTCCTATGTGTTAATCTTTTGCATTTGTCCTGCTGAATCTCTTTGTATTGATTGCAGGCCACTTCTTTAATTTATCAAGCTCGTATTGTATTTTATTTCTGTCCTGCAAATTATTTGCTACCCTCCCATCCCGGTAAAATGTTCAGATTTGATTAGCATACCCCTGGTCTGGTTTCCAAGTTGTTAATAAAACTATTGAATTGTATTGACCTTGCAGGGCACTCAGTGGGACCCCACTTAACATTTCTGCCCACTGGACTCTGAACTGTTGAGGTACGTGCACATGTATTTTTAATCAGCAGCACATCTTTGTTCTTGTAGTACATCTTATTTACACCATGTGAAGAGCCATATGATGTTTTGATAATAAAAATTATGATCTGTGTAGCTCCAGCCACCCGCCTGAGGATTTTCCTAGTGATAGATATAGTATCTGACATGATGGCCTCTGAGCCCTGGTCTGTTGATGAGCTGCCAATAACAATGGGCAGGATTTGTGTAAAGTCTGAAGTTAAAATATCATATTGCATTGTGAAAAAAACCTCCAAGGCCTTGATCATGTAATGAGACTCCCCCGTTCCCCAGAGCTTTCCCACCCAGCACCCTTGACAGGCTGGGGGCTTGGACTTGTAAAATGAGGGTTTTGTTCAGCAGCTCTCTGGGCCTGCTCTGGGAAGGCAAATCAACAAGCGACTTGCCTGGAGTCCTGCGGCCTCTGATTAATCATGAGCATAAAGGTGGGCAGTTTGCAGAGGCAGGGACTGTACAAAGCTGGTATGAGGCAATGAGGCTGGTCCCTAGAGCAAGGGGATGACCCAAAGGGTCAAGTCCCCGGCTCCAGGATGGGTGGTAGCATCTCACTCCTCTAGCTGTTCCAGCACCTGGGTAGTCTCGCCTTGCAACCAGCTGCTCAGCCCCTCAAAAGAGCTTATCTTTAGCAGGTTTTCCTCACTCTGTTGGGGATAGAAGTTGTCTTTAAGAAAAAGGAGAGGTGACAGAGAAAAAAAATCTGACTAATTCAGTTACATGCTTCTGACTGCCAGAACCCGCTTGCATTTCGCACTCCTGCTTTACCTGATTGCTACTTGCCAGCGCTGGATACGGCTCCATTTGCCATTGCAAGAGAAGTCCCCAAGGTCAGCATTTTCTGGGGGCATCCCCTTGGTTTTGGTTCCGGCTGACACCACGGATCCCTGGGTAGTGAACATCAGCCTGTCCCTTGACCACTGATGGGAAATATGTCCCCAGCACATGATTAAATAAAGAGTTAATAAAAGTGAATCCTACTGATCTTGAGGCTGTTTTAGAAAAGTTGGGGCTAAATTGCTCTGGCAAGCTTTGCTCTGGATGGGGCTTCTCTGGCTTTCAACATAATCTTTTTAGTTTTGTGGTGGGTACTCCTCCTGCACACTTTGTTAAATGCCCTCTCGTTTTGTCCAGCGTTAAAAACAAAGGGAAGCTGACCTATGATTATCCTGATCTCCCCTTGCCCTCCTGAGAAAGGGGTTGTTCTTCCCCTTGCCCTCCCTCATCCTCCCCGAGATCCTGGGGACAGACCATGGGTCACCTCACCTGCGCTGGTCCCTCCAGCCCCGAAGGGTGAGCGTGGCTGTGCCCGGCTGCTCCGCTCCTCTGCGGGGTATCTGTGCGCCGGTGCTCCTTTTGGAGCCTTTGAGGCCTTTGACAGCTCCTTTTCCTGCTAACTGGTATTGAATTACACAGCCTCTTAATTGTCTCCTTTTCCTTGAAGACTAAATCAAAGCAACTCTTTAGTTTATTAGTCTCCTTGCTGTCTGTCAGAACTGACTTTTTTGACTGAGTCTGTGTCTGGTGATGCTCCTCCTCCCCTCTCTCCCAGTGACTCTGAAAGAATTCACCCTCCGGTGCTGTTTTTATGCCTCAAAGTTGCATTTTAGGGACACCCCCAGTGAGAACTGCTCCCAGTTGGATGGGGGGATCAGGCAAAGTGAGGAGAAAGGGTGGCCTGACCTGTCCCACCCATCCTGTCCTGTCCAGCATCCCTGGTGAACAACTGAGCTTCCAGAAGTGTTCAGTCAGAAGCCAGAAATCTGGCTGAGAGTGATGTGGCCAAAGTCTCTGGTCTACTGGGCAGAAACACCTCTTCCCACCATCTCCAATTCCAGGCAGAGCTCTTCCTGGCTGGCAGCATCGTCTGCATCTCCGCCTCTTACTCCTGCTGCACACTTGTCTGAACCTCTCCAAGGCTCCCTGGATGTCACACATACCCCCTGTTCTCCTCTCTCCGTGTCACCAGCACATGGGGCCATGCTGGCAGGTACTGGTGGGCATCTGAACTGGGGAGGCCTCTTCCCTCCCTGCGCGAGGAGCAATGGCCTCTCCTGGATCAGTGCTTAGGCCTGGGTTCAGCTTTCCACATGGCCAAGCAGTCAGTGGGAATACTAGCCCAGAAGCAGCTACGCAGTGAAGATGGCCACATACCTGTGCAGGTTGCCTGAGCCAAGCTCTGGTGCAGGCAAACTTCAGGAAACCAACAGAATAATGAAGGGCCTTAAAGCCAAGGACGTTGAGATTCCATTAGTGAGGGCTAAATACTACTCAAGAGCCAAATGCTGTTATTTTCACACCAGTGTAAGAGCTGTCCCTCCCAACAGCCTGTTTTTCTTTTTTGGGACTCCCTACAGAATACAGAATTGGTCCCACTACTTTTGAATGAGGCTGCAGAGATGCCCTGGATCCAGCTATGCCAGACCTCAACTGTCATGATCAGTCCCAAGCAACAGGGAGACCAGAGGCATGAAAGTAAGAAACTGTCCTGGGTTGAGTGAGTGGTGGAGTTTTTTGGTGGCAGGGGAGGGGGCTATCGGGGCGGCCCCCTGTGAGAAGCTTCTCGAAGCTCCCCCAGCTCCAAGTCAGCTCCACTTCTGTTTGGAAACTGAGCCAATTGGCTGCGCCTCTGCGATAACATATTTAAGAAGGGATGTGGTGACGTGCATGTAGGACTTGTGAGGAGGAGTTGCTGCAGCTGCGTGAACACCAAGGTCAGTGGAGGAACGGAGGAAGAAAGGAGGGGGGAGGTGTGCCGGAGCAGAGACCCCCCTGTATCCTGTGGTGAGACGGCAGGGCGGCCCCCCCTGCCACCCATGGAGATCTATGGTGGAGCAGACATTGATTTATGGCCTGTGGCTTCAGCCTGATTGATCAAGGTGCTGTGCCCAAAGAAGGCCGGGGTCTTGTGGGAAAAGGCAGCCCTGCTGCTGTAATTCAGCGCTGGGAGGATTGCAGCATGCGGGGGAGTCCCACGCCGGAGCAGCTCGGGAAGGGCTGCAGCCGTGGGAGGGAATCCAGTCAGAGAAAGTTGGTGACCCACAGTGGAGCAGTGTAGAGAATGCTGCGGCCCGTGGGAGGGACTTATGTCAGAGAAAGTTTATGGAGGACTGTCTCCTGTGAAAGAGGGACCACGATGGAGAAAGGTGAAGAAATTCCAGAAGCTCCCCCCACTGAAGACGGAGAAAGTGGCAGCACTGACTGCCCCCCCCATTCCCTGCCCCTGTGCCACTGGGGGAGGAGGTAGAGATATCAGGAGCAGAACTGAGCCCGGGAAGAAGGGAGGGGTGAGGGGAAGGTGTTCTCAAGGTGTGGCAATGCTTCTTACTGTCCTACTCTGTTACGTGTTGTTAGTGTCTGTAATAAATGTATGTTCTTTTTTTCTTCCCCTAACAAGTCTGCCTTTTTGCTCGTGCCCATAAAGGGGGATTTTTTCCCCATCCCAGTTCTATCTCAAACCCCAGGCCTGGATCTCTGTCCCTTCTTATTGCCGGAAGAGAAGGGAGAGAGAGTGGCTGTGTGGTGGTTGGCTGCCGACCAGGCTCAAACCACTGACAGAAACACAGCTCCCCTCTGATGTCCTGCCTTGCTGATCAAGTAGCTCTGACACTTATGGTATGTGATCAGCACATGACTGATCTCTGGAGGCCTCTGGAAGAGAGTCCTCTGCCACCTCCCTTCTCTCCAAGCAGCCGGCAGTTTGTGTCATCTGTGTCAGCTCTGGAGCTGCAGGACCCTCCTTAGAAAATGTGCTCTACAGCATTATTTTCCATGCCGTAGCAGGAGCCCAGCCCCAGTGATTGTTGCACAGTTGAGAACTTATCTCCTCTCTTCCACATCAACAGACCATCCTTCTGTCAGGCAGAGCCCAAATCTATAGGCTTCCCCTTTTCCTACCCCCATTTGGCCAGACCTGTATAAAAGGAGTCATTGCTACTTGGGTGTTCCCACGGAAATCTGCAGGACTAGTTTTGTGGGAGAGTACAGCTGCACTTGAGGAAGGCTGGCAGAATCCGGCCCACGGAGGCTGACATATGGTAAGGCAATATATGTTTCCTAGCATGTGGATCCAAAAATTATTCCTACAAGGTGCAGAATTGCATTGATTGTATTACTGGATTATCAAATGATTAAAGCCATTAACAATCCGCTCTTGAGCAATCAATGTAACAATATTTAGTTGCCTTGCAGTAACAATTAAAAGATGAAGCAATTTGCAATAATTAGGTAGTATCTGGAAAAAGAAGTCCTCATTAAGAGAAGTTAAAAAGACTTTTTCTTGTGGTTGAGATGAACCTAGCAGACCAATTTCTCTCCTCCTCACCCTCACTCCTTCCCCTCCTCGCCTTCCTTTTAAAGAAAACAATCTGTTCTTTTTTAGCCTTTTATTCTAGAAAAGATCAAAGGGAACCTAATGACTGGATTGCTCCCTGAGCGCTCAGGGGGCGGTGGGAATCACGGGACCACAGTACTGAGGTCGGGAGCCCCTTTTCATGGGGAAGCTATCCTGAGTCGGTGCTGAGTCGTTGGGCTGTTTTTCTGCCTGGTGGGATTTTGGATGAGGTCCAAAGCAGTTTCTCTAGCACGGGAGGTTCTTGGGACCTTTCCCCCTCCCTGAGCCCCTCACAGAGGACCATGCATTGCTTCCAGGCTTGCGTTGTCTTGGCAGCCCATCAAGTATCAATGAGCAAAACACGAGTGGATCAGGCTTGGGCAGGGGTCAGCAGTAGTTCTGATGGTTGAAGCAGATGATGTTTTCTCCTCATGGCACTAAAGCAGCTGCTTGCAGGGGGGTTGGAGCTGCTGAGCCAGCCATGGGTGCACCCCAGCTCCTGCACCAGGGGATGGCGTGGTTACAACAAATACATGTAGATGAGATTGCATAAGAACTCTTGTACCCAAGAAGAAATGCATCCTCAAGGCTCAGGAATAGGGAAGGAAGTCAGAGCCCAACATTTATTTTCTTTATACTTATTTAGCTGAACTCAAGCGTTCTGAGGTCATGTATCAGGATTTTGGAATAGTTGATGCTGGTTGTACCACTGTCCTCCTCTTGAAGTGGTCATTGTGCTGGTGACCCCTGGTATTTACTTTAAAGGAAAGCTCATCTATGCATATATATTATTAACAAGCTTTGCCGGGTGCCAGTGGCTCAGAAGATGCTCTGTTTCCTTATACAGCAAAAAGGTAAACATGTCCCTCTTCTGAGCCCAGCCTCCAGGCACGTACTTTGCTGATATCTCTTTGTGTTTAGTGCCATCAGCTGCAGGGAAGCGGAGAAAGAGGGATGTGGAATGTACTTTGTAGCATAGGTTCTGTAAGAAACTTGGGTGTACAAGTCCTGGTATGTGTGTATGAAAGTGAAAACTAATCCAGTGCTTGTGAGTGGAAGTGAGTAACCATTGTGGAAGTGCACTGAGGGCCTTCCAGTAACAGGGTTGTCAGATCCATAGTTCATGCAGGGATGGGTATGTTACTTCACTGAAAAATAAACTCCTTGGTGACAGTCCAATCATCCTGTCTGGATGATTCTTCTCCAGAATGTCAAACAGATTTTCTACCTGAAGGTACAAGTGAAGATGTTTGGGTCAATAAGTAATTACAGAAATTGGGATCTGGCTAGTACCCTGGGATGCCCTCTTCTGCACTGGCAGAACAAGCAGTGGACAGGATCTTTTCTGGCCGGCAGCAGGCAGGGCTTTGGTTTTCTACACCACCCAAATGGCAGCCGGTCTGTGGCCTCCAAACTATACTGGGACACATATGTCCCTGGAGAAATGCCATCTATCTCCACATGGAGTTTATAACTCCACTGATGGTGCACAGGAGCTCGCAGGCAAAGTGGAAACAGCGCAAGTTCAGAAAACCAGCTTGGGGGAGAGTGCACAGAAATAGGGTTGTCATACTTGCCTGCAACTCCTTGTAGCAGAAAAAGGCACCAAGTGAAGTGGCCTCCACCACATTTTAGGTCTATGTAACATGCAGAAATGAACGGAGAACTTGGGCTATACCATTCCCAACACCATGTACAGACTTTAGGGAGAATATGGTGAGGGGGAAGGGCCTGGATTGCCGCTGGTGATGCAGCACCAGTATGTCCTCCTCTGCTGTGTCCATATGGAGAACCATCTGGTGGCAGGATGCAGACTGTGCCTTCGCGCTTCCCTGGAACACGCAGCTGCTGGGATGCACATTGCCATTCAAGGCACAAAAATTAGAAATTATATCAGATACTGTAAAGTTGTCATGAACGATATGAACTGATAGGAGCCGATGTTCTTTAGCAAACTACTGCTGTCATGAATAGAAAATGAGAATGGATTGAGCTACATTAGGATCGTGAGAGTAAATCATCTGCAGTTTCTGGAATATTTAGAAATATGAGGATACCCTGAAGGTATCCTTTGCTGATGGGAAGGCTGAAGTGAAAAAGGCATTTAAGTAGTGGATAGACAGGAAAGATGTGGTCACTATGATTATTTATATAGTCCTCAGAACCAGAGCAGCATTTGAAATAAATGATCACAAATACCTCAGACAACAGGATTTAGGCCTTATAAACCCAGGCAGCACTCTTGTACATATTGCCCATAGCTTTTTTTGACCTTCAGTATCATGGCTGGAAGAAGGTGGACACCAAATGGAGATCACTGCACATTCACCTTTGGGCATGATAGATGTAGATCAGTCGGGTTTGTTATCACGTTCAATGAAAGATGAATGTGGATTACAATGCAGGTGTAGCAATGAGGACCTGACTCCATATGTCACTGTCACTAGTTGACATTGCTGGGCGCTGCTTGGATGCATCATCCATTCTGTGCCCAAAGCTTGTGCAAATCAAGCAGTCCCAATGGGAATCAAAGCTGGGGGGTCCCTGGCACGCGTGTGGCTGGACAGAGCCATCAGGTCAGCTGCCGTCAGTGGGGTTACACCAAATCTCAGGAAAAGAGCTGGAGCCAGAACTGCAGCCCTGGGGCCTGAGCAGAGCCGCTGCCGGGGGCTGTGGGGCTCTCGGGCCAGCCAGCAGCTTGCACCCAAGGGTGTCAGAGCAGTGCTGGGCAGCGCGGCAGAGCCACCTGTGACTTCTGCCTTGGGCAGGCTTGGTGGGGGCCCTGACTTGTGTAAAAGGGAATGTAACGTAAAAGCAGAGTGACTGAATGATGTTTTGGTGCTCCTCTTGACTATCATTCAGTATTCTTTAAAGAATACTTTTGTTTGCATATTTAGATGAAAAAAGTATTTTTCCAGCACTGTCCTCCTTAACTGCTTCCCATTTTTAATTCAAAACCACCAATATGCACCCTCAGCCCCAGGGAAAGGTCTGCTATTAATCCTAAGGGATCCCAACCCTTCCCAGTGCTCCTTGTTTGAGGTGTCCATGGGGCTGTGCGTGCCGAGGTGTGCAACGAGAGCGCTGGCACTGGCTCTGCTGGGTGTTGGCACAACTCAGCACACAGCAG